AGGGGGTCCTCTCCTTGGGGGCACTAAAAGAAGATATGTGGCACGTATAAAGTTCTGCCAAGAATCTAGAAACAGCATTTTGAAATTATTATCAAACTGATTAGGCCAAATCCTCTGAACAGGATGCCATGTTAAGAATTTAGGATTGAGCAGTTGCAAATACTCCAGGGAAGTGAAAGATCCTTTGCCTGTGCTTCATCAAGGCACGCTCTGAACGTAAGGATGGGGTGTGGGATGAAAGAGGGGTTCCTCTGAGAGAGCCACATCCCTCCACTCATGAGGGAACCTCCGTTCCACGTTGCAAACGCCTCTTCAAACCCATCCATTTGCAGTTTGGCTGATGGCCCCCCCTCCCCCAGTACTCACCCTTGGCTAAAAGCAACCCTTGGGCTGGCACTGCAGAGGTATTCCTTGGGGCCTGCAGTGGGCTGGTTTCCTACTTTGGAGCAGCTCTTCCTCCTGGGCAAGGGGCTGTTGGAGACCCCAAGGGGAGTGGGCTGCCTGCCTCCATAACAGAACTTTCTTCACCTGGCAACTCTGGAACTCGGCTGACTGTTGCATCACCTCCTGTTCCGGAGGAGGCTGGGATTCTCTTTGCTCCGTGGCAGCCGGACCTCTCTTTGCAAGAAGCCACTTTGCACCCGTGTTTCTGAGCTTGGGCAAGCACAGGACAATGGTAACAATCGAGTCAGAGTCCGATTTCTATGACGTCTTTGAGATTCTGGGGAAGGGCACGTTTGGGGAGGTCGTGAAGAGCTGGAAACGGAGCACTGGGGAGATGGTGGCCATAAAAATCCTGAAGAATGACTCCCACCGCAGCAGGATCATCAAGAATGAGCTGAAGCTGCTGCAGACCATGTCCGAGGTGGATTCCGAGGAGTCTCACATCGTCCAGTTCCACGAATTCTTCCACGACGAGCTCAAGTTCTACCTGGTCTTTGAGCTCCTGGAGCAAAACCTCTTCGACTTCCAGAAAGAGCACAACTTCTCTCCATTGCCGGTCCGGCACATCCGCACAGTGACCACGCAGGTGCTGAGAGCCCTGGCCAAGTTGAAAGAGCTGTCAATCATCCACGCTGACCTGAAGCCAGAGAACATCATGCTGGTGGACCAGGTGAGGTATCCTTTCCGGGTCAAGGTGATTGATTTTGGATCGGCCAGCATCTTCAACGAAGTGCGCTATGTCAAAGAGCCTTACATCCAGTCCCGATTCTACCGGGCCCCAGAAATACTGCTGGGGCTGCCATTCTGTGAGAAGGTGGACATGTGGTCCCTGGGGTGCGTGATGGCCGAGCTGCACCTTGGCTGGCCCCTCTACCCTGGGAACAATGAGTATGACCAGATCCGGTATATCTGCGAGACCCAAGGCATGCCCAGGCCCACCCTCCTGAATGCAGCCCGAAAGGCCCACCTCTTCTTCAAGAGGAGCCAGCACCCCGAGGTGGTGAACTCCTGGCAGCTGAAAACCCCAGCAGAGTATCTGGCTGACACCAAAGTGAAGTCTGTGGAGAGGAGAAAGTACGTGCTCAAGTCCCTGGACCAGATGGAGACGGTGAACGTCCACAAGATGATCTACCCGGACACAGAGGCCCTGGCTGAGTACTTTGACCTCCGGAGCATGGTGGAGCTCATCAAACGGATGTTGACCTGGGATTCTCACGAGCGCATCACTCCCAGCGCAGCCCTGAAACACCCCTATATCTCCACCCAACCCCTGAAGCAGAACTATGATCTCACCCAGTACTACCAGTTCTGCCTGAGGAGCCTCCGGGAGTCGCTGCCCAGCCATGGCAAGGCTTCCGAGGAGGAAACGCAACATTACAGTGCCATGGAGGAGGACCGCTTCTACAGCCGGGAGGAAAGCGCTCATGGCATCCAGGGCACCACCAGCCAGTTGGACGAGCTCAGCATTGCTGAAGCCAGCCGGGAGGTGCCCCTAAAGGTGTGGGGCGAAGGGCCCAGCGGGGGAGGCTATGATCCCATTCTGGACCCGGCGGAGGCAGTGGCAAATCGGCATAGAGTGGCCCACCAGAGCCTCCGGCTGCGTCATGAGCAGGCCCAGCAGGAACCCATCCCAGCCTACTACCGAAGCCGGCCCGGCAGCCCCAGGCACCACAAGGCCTCTCACCATGTGAAGTCAGACCCCACTTTTGAGAACCTGATCCTTCTGGGGCAGTACACGCCGGAAGACCCCCATGGCTGGGAGAAGGAGAGCAATGCCAGCGTCACTTCCTTGCCAGAGTCCGGTGCCCTGGAGGAGGCGAGCTACCCCAAAGGCCTGGTCCTCTCACCCACCACACAGGTAACAAGGACAGTTAGAGGCGGCAGGGGGTTGGACCTCATGAAACCACAAAGGATGGGAGAACCCCCTGAGCTGATTGGTGACATAAACAAGGGAGTGTAGGCAATGGCCAAGGCGACTAGAATGGGGCCTCAGAGGAGGACTGAGTCAGACACTGGAGGGTCTGCAGCTCCCTCCTCCACACCAATACTGTTGCTCTATCTTTCTTCTAGGCCACCCATGAAGCTGCCTCAGTATCCCAAGTCCACTGCGGTCTTTCCCATGTGCTCGTACTCATCCTGAGCAGCATCTCTGAGGAAGAATGCTCATTCCCCCCCCCCCAGTACTTGCAGGTCCAGTTCAGAAGCCCATCATCAAAGCCAAGAGGGGGCACTGGCTGTCCTAGCCAGAGGCCAGTTGGCATCCTCCCCCCGCCCCGGTGGGCTTGCAGGGAGTTATGGGAGCAGCAGCACTCATGACAGGCTGCAAAGGCAACCACAGAATCTGCACACTCCAGGCTGAGTTTGGACACCCATCTCGGAAAAAAGGAATATACCACAACTATCCTGAGGGGGGCTTTTGTTGAATTGTTCATGCCACCCCCCCATCCCTGGCCCCTGTGGCTGATCCTTCTCATCTTCTATGAAGCTTGGCAAAGTGCTCTTTTCCCAGCAGCCCAGCTCCCCCCACCCCAGTTTGCAGAGGGGGTGTGCAGGTAGAAACCAAGTAAAGGGTGGCCCAACCAATCTTGGCAAGAGAGTGAAGAAGAGAAAGATGGTGCAAAACCCCTATCCAGGAACCGAAGCACCTCCCCGCCCACCCCTCCGACTCTGCAACGGGCCTTGCCCAGACCAGTTCAGCCCCTCCATGAGCTCTCTCAACCCCTCCCTGGGCCCCCTCCCCCAGTAATGCTCTGTTTCTTTTTGGCAGCACGGGCAGACAGAGGTCTTTGAGCCGGCCATGCCGCTGCCCGGGCCAAACCCCTGGCTACCCAGCGAGGACTGGCTGGCTGAACACAGCATGGAAAGAGTCCCGCTCAAGGCAGTGCTGCACGCCCCCCGGAACCGCCACCAGCTGCAGCCTTACCTGCAACATGTTGCCAGCCACCACTAGCCCTGGACCCTCAGCCAGGAAGAGGGCAGGTGCAGCGGAGAGATGGCCCACCAAGGCCCGGACAGATACCTTTCTAGACATTAAATATATAGACTGTTCCTCGCTGCCCAGCCCCACTTACTTAATAAACGCCATCTTGCTGTTACTGAGCTGTAGAGAGCCCTGAGGGCAGGCCAAGGTGGACCCGGCGGGGAGGGGAGGTGATGGAGTTGGGGGGCTCTGAGCAACCAGTCAGCCCACTGGTCTTTCCAGGAGCCGAGGGCACCACACGCAGGCCACACTGACTCCCCTGAGTGTCCAGGCGGCACTCGACCTACTGCATCGTTAATAAACTCATTATCACTTACAGACTGCTTTGACGGCATGTTTGTCTAGGGACCCTCCACGCCTCCACCCAGACTTGCCTGCTGACCCGCCCCGCCCCCCGCCGGCCTTCAAACTGTGCTGCGCTGGGAATGTCAGCCCCCTCCCGAGGAGAGCCTGGGGTCTTGCAGGGAGTGCCCATAGGGCAGCACCTGACCCGGCAGGGAAGCCGCAAGCAAAGCCTGCCCTGGAAGGAGAGGGCAGGACTACCCCAGGCTGGTCTCCGAGACTCTTGCGGGGGGGGGGCGGGGCGGAACCAACAAGGTCAACCGGAGGGAGGCTTTTCCAGGGAAGCCCCCTCCCCCCACGTGCTCTGCTGCCCCCTCCTCATTCCACCTGCTGGTGCAGGGCCGCCCCTGGCGCCCAGCGCGGATGAGGGGCCGCTGTGGGGTGCAGGTGGGCAGCGGCGTTTCGGGGCTGGGCCCGGCGATAGAGGACAGGCCGGGAGAAGGACGGGCCAGCGGTCTCCGGAGCCAACAGCCGAAGAAGCCAGGCCGGTGCCCCCGCCCCCCGCGGAAGGAGGCAAAGAGGCGAACCGCGGCGCTGCCCCCTCGAGTCGCTCCGGCTCTTTGCAGCCCCGCAGCGGGCGGGTTGTCGCGGGCCGCTGCCGGGGCGATCAAGAGGGCGTCGGGCGCCAAACTCGACGCGGGAGTGACAGGCGGGGAGGCAGGCAGCGTCGGACGCGGCGCCGCACCAACTCCCAGGATTCCCAGTAAGCGGGAGGGATCTACCATCAGGGCAAGGGGGGGGGGTTGAGCCGACCCAGACGGGATTCCGGGGTCTTTCGTCGCCTTTGCTCCGGGTCCGTCCCAGGAAAGCCGCCGCCCGGGCCGATTCCTCAGAGCCGACTTCCAGCGGGGGACGGGGGCGGGCGGGGACCCCCCCTTGGCTCCCCGGAGGGATGGAACGAGCCTGGCAGCGGGCGGGGCTTGGCTGCTCCGGGCGGGGCGGGGCGGGGCGGGCGAGCGAGCGAGCGAGCCGGCGCGTCGGGCTGCCCGGGAAGCCAAGCTCTCGGCGGTACGCGAGGGGCGGGCGAGGGGCGGCGGGTCCGGACCCGACGAACGCGGGGCCGCGCCCGGCACGTCCCGCGTTGCGTGGACAGCCGCTCCTGAGTCCGCCGGTCCGTGGGCGGCGCCGGGTCCCGCAGGGAAGAGAGCGGCGTGAAGGTGCCACTGGGCGCTTTGCCTCCGCTCTCCCGTCCTTCCTTGTGTGCGGCCCCGCCGGAGCTGGAGCGCGGAGACGCCCCGGAGAGGCGGGCATCTCGCCGGGGAAAGCCCCCCTGAGCCCCGGGAGGGCAGCCGGAGAAGGAGCCCTTCCATCCCTCCCTCTTGTTGCGGCTTCGCCGGACGGCTGGCCGGGCTCCGAGTCGCTTGGCGAGGGCGGGCATCCTCTGATCCGCCCCGGGGCAGGCGGGGCTGGCGCGACGGGAGGGAGGGAGCTGTGCCCGGTGTCGGATGCCACCGGCTGGTGCTGTTGGCCGCGAGAGCGGAGTCCCTGGCGGAGCCGCTCTGCCGGGGTGGCCCTTTGAGAAGGCGGCTCCTCTCCCCCCCCCCGCCGCTTTCCCACCAGGCCCTGCTTTGGCGAGGGGGCAGGGGAGGGTTGAGCATTGGAGAGACCTAACCCTTCATAGGTGTGGGGGTGGGGGTGGTGCCCAGTTTTCTATAAAGCCCCTACCTGTTTGGCTTTTGCCTGGTGTGATCAAGGTCTACAAAGCAGTTGGCAGTTTGTGATCATTAACTTTCCCTTTGGTTTAGAAAAGTGTTTTTCTTTTCAGGGCGGTCAGTACCTGCAAAGGAAACTTCCAGTGTGGGATTGGGCCTAGCTTGGTTTCTGCAGGTGTTCCTTGCTCCCGTCTGGAGGCCCAGGCCGTCTCTTAGTTTCTGCCGCCACGTGCTTGGCACAAGTCGCCTCTTCCACCCACTCCTTGGCATTCAGTCTTTCTTTGAATTTAAGGTACAAACGTTGGGATTAACTGTGTTTTAGAGTCCTGATGAGTAAAAGGGAGGCTACAGTTGCTGCCCTGGCATTCGCTCGTGCTGGCGGTGGTGGGCATCGCTTAGCTTTAGAGCCCTCCTCTGAGCGGCCCCCCATCCTCTGGGGCCAGAAGGGTCCGATCTTTGCCCAGAATAAACGGGGACACTTAAACTTCTGAGTTGGGACCAATCCCCCTCCGGCCCTGGATGTTGCACTAATCTAAGGATCCAGCGGCCGCCTTGCCTTTCTCTGCTCTGCCACCCAGATGCCCATTTCCCCCCCTCACGCATGGCTCAGAAGGAGCCCCCTAGAATTCCTGCCCAGGTTTCCTCAGTTTGCAGAGCAGCCTCCCAGCCTTGCAACGCCTGTGAGCGTCTTCTCGGGCCTGGCTAGACCTCCTTGGCAGCACCCACATTTGGAAGTGCATCCTCCTCACTTCCCAAACTGCTCAAGGGCCAGGTTTGAAAAGCAGGCCCTGGGTTAGCCTCCAAGCGGACAAGACCTCTACCTGACATCCTTTCCTCTGAGCCTGGCCACCGAGGGGAACAGCCAGGGACCCAGGGTGGGCACAGAGCCCTGAGCGGAACCTCTTTCTTCCTGTGCCCTTCGCAGGTTCCTTGAAGCTGTTTCCCACTCGGGAGGATCTGAGGAAATGAAGCCCCCAGTTGCATACCAGAAGGTAAAGTCTCTCAGCTGCACAAGGGGTGGGATTGTGCCGTGGAGGTGATAACACCCGAGGCGCCCCACTGTTAATCTGCAAAGGGGGTCAAAGACTTCAGCAAATAAGAGACCCATGCAGCCCCTCCTCCCCAAAGCAAATGGGGCTGAGGTGAGTCTGCAGAGCTGTGTCCTATTTGCTTGATGAAAGCCAGTGGATCTTTCCCTCAGAGGTTTTGTGTGGGATTCTGGCCGGCCAGCCTTGGCAAGTCTACATTCTGGAACCCGTGGCCACGTCCATGCTGATGGCTTGCGGGGGGGGGGGGCTATTCCTACCCTGTGGCTTTTTCCTGAGGGTGGAGAACTTTTTTGTGCTCCTTCCTCATAGCTCAAGACACCGGAGAGCCCTCAGGAGTTGCTGCCCCTGGCTGAGCAGCCCGGCCAGACTCTGCGCCAGGTGGGTCCTCCGCATTTCAGCTCCTCCCGGCCTGCAGCGGTGTCTCAGAGGGGGGAGAGAAAGAGAGGCACTTAAGCCCACCCGGCCCTGCTGCCAGGCCACACCAGGAAATCAACTTCCCAGGAAGGAAGGAAGGCTAAATCTATTTTGCTCGAGACCAGCTAGAACAGAATCTTGCGAGTCTGCTTGCGCTGGGCCCCCTCCTTAGAAGGTTTTGAGCTCCTTCCACAAGTTATCTCTTGCTCTGGGCTTAAAAATGCTTCACAGCCCCTTTTGTCTGAGGAAGAACAACCCACATCTCCATCTTCCTTGCTCGCTTCCTCTGCTCCCTTCTGCACTGGATATTGGTCCTGAGCAAGGGCCCCAGCAACCTGTTTGGGCGGCCTGAAAGCTGGGTCTGCCTCTCCAAGAGCTGAGGGGGCCTGAGCAGCAGTGAGGCTGCTTCCAGACATTGCTGGTTTGGTCAGCAGGCATCGAACAGCTCTGCTCGCCCCCCAAGAACCCCCAGAGTAATGAAAGCAAAGCAGCGAGAGCCAGCCAGGCCACTGCCCCCCTTCCCCTGTGCCCAGAGAGTGCACACGTGTATTGGTGACTGTGCAGGGGATCGGATGTGGGGCTGGGCTAGGCTCTGAGCTCCTCCCTTTCTCCGCAGTTCCGTGGCTCTGCACTGGGGAGGCCCTGCCACAGCGTCTCTGGCTTGCGTCCTGCAGAGCCACCTGGCCAATCTACGTCCATCCTGGCCTGGGATTTTCAGTGCATCCTGGTGACAGCCATCTTGTCCACTCTGCTGGTGGTGGCCCTGGTGGTCCACTCGTTCTTCTTTCCTTTGCAAAGTTTGGCCACAGTGGGGAATGTGGCATTGGTGCCACGTGTGGATCACGCATGCAGCGACTCATGCAGGTATCAGCTTTGCTTGTGATTTTCTTGGACTGCATTCAAGTAGAGGGGTGTCATGTCACGGCCTGTTCCTTCTCCATCAGAAATGTGGCCTTGCGAGAACACAAAGGTTGTGGTTTTGTTTAACTGTGAAGAACAGTATTCAGCTCTGTGGGGTCTTCATCCATTTGCATAAAGCATTGTGGAGAACAAGGACCCGGTGGTCCTTCCAGGAAGGAGGAGCCTGGCCACACGAGAGGCCTGGCAAGGGGCACGGGAGGGGAATTGGGATTCTGCCAGAACTGTCCTGCCTCACCCACTTCCTCCTGGAGAAACACATCAGTATAGCCATGCCGAGACCCCCTGCTTCCATGCCAGAAGCCCACTCGCAGCACTGCTCTCCCCCTCCCCCCCACGCAGTAGAGTAGGGCAATGCCCAGAGGTAAGGCTAGGAGACTCTACTGCTGCTGGCTAATGGGTAAAATCCCTCAGATTGAATGAAGGCCTTCCTGGGACACCATAGAGGTTATGGGGCTTTTTGGCTCAATGAGTCTGCAGTGTGATGCAAGACCCTTGTGGAACACATAAGCACCCAGTTGTTCCCCCAGGAGTGTGCTGGTGGAGAGCATCCCTGAAGGACTGACATATGACGACAACAGCACAGTCAGCCCTTCCACTTTTGAGACTTGGCAAAGCCTTCTGAGAAGCGCAAGGAGCTCCGTGGACATTGCCTCTTTCTACTGGACTCTCAGCAACCGGGACACCCATACCCATGATCCTTCAGCCAGCCAGGTGAGGGGAGGAGCGCAGGAGCCCCAGACTCATCTCCAGGGAGGGGGAGGGGTAAAGCCCAAGGGCAGGGCAGAAGACAGTCCACAGGCAGAGGTGGATCCTCAGCTTAATCCAAAGTTCATGCGGCAGGACGAGGACCAATGCGTGGAAGCTTTACAGAGGGAGATCCAGACTTGGATCAAGGAGCATTTCCTGACTGTGAGAACTATGACAGAGTGGGTTAGCCAGCTTCCTGGAGTCATGGTTTTCAAGCAACAGCCTAGGATAGTCTAAGGTTCCTGCCCCGGGCAGCTGGCTGGACTAGATGACTCCAAAGGTCTCTTCCCAGCCTCTGTGATCTACAAGTCCCTGGCGTTGGGTCTAGAATAGCTGTAAGAAGCCAGGACTGGTCTAAGACGGCCTCTTCCATCTGGGAATCCTTCCGTAAGTGGCCCCTCCGGCTATACTAATTTACAGCTCTCAGAATTTCCAAATGCACCTCACAGATCTGTAAAGTACCAGCTCAGTGAAGCCTCTCCTAGGCATTAGTGTCACTGGTTACTTCCCCCCCCCCCCCCATCTATTAGCCATCTTCAAACCGCAAGACTTTTTTTAGGCGTGTGGCACACACTTACAGCTAGGAAGCCCGGAAGGGGTCTGGGGCTGACAGGGCCAAGAGGCAGACGCTGATTTGCACATGGGTCCGTGGCGAAACCTGCATGCAAACAGGCAGTTAATTACTCAGGCATGGAGCCACGCGTGGCCTTGCAGTCAGTCAAAGCTCCCTTTGAGGGCAGCGGAACATCCATTAGTTCAGACTTTGGTTACGGAGGGAGAGCAGAGAGCCTCTCTCTCTCATTTTGACAGATGTCCAAGGACTTGGGGAGAGCTGCTGTGTGCAGCTCTCATTTGAGAAATCAAGCACGGCACTCAACAGTGGCTAAAACTACACCAAACAAAACTACACCTAAGGCTGCTTTGCTCTACTGGCCCAGGCTTTGTCTGATGGGCCATCAGGGATCAAGCCAGGGCTGGCTGGCTAGCATTTGAGAGGGCCTCCTGGGAAGGGTTTCCTTCCCCAGCAGTTCTCAGCTGCCTCCTGGACCTTTTGCTCTCCCATCAGGGGCAGGAAATACTATCGGAGCTCCAGCACACTGCCAGTCGAGGGATTGTGTTAAGGATAGCAGTCAACCCGCCTTCTACCCGGATGCCCAGTGCTGACCTTCAGGTCCTCGAGAAGAGTGGTGAGCTTTCACCGTAGCAGATTCAAGTCAGCTGCTGATGGTGGCAGCTCTGGGTCTGTCTGGCCAAGTCCATTCCTGGCACTTTATTGGGGCAGAGAAAAGGCTGAACCCACAGCCCAATCAAAAGGAGCCCAGGTCGACCACGGTCTTTCTTAAACACACAGGGGCCCAGATCCGCCAAGTGGACTTACCAAGACTGACCCAGGGAGTCCTGCACACCAAATTCTGGATTGTGGACCAGCTACACATTTATCTTGGGAGTGCAAATATGGACTGGCGTGCCCTTACACAGGTGATCCCCTTGTCCCATGCCCAAATCTTGGGGCTCCCGATGGGGGATTTGATGGAGCAGCTGATGGTCTTCTGTAGGGTTGCTCTGCAGGCCTTCTTCATCCCTCTTCAGAGGCTTTCTAAAGGTTGCAGAAGGGAGGCTGCCTGGCACCATCAGGCAAAACTAATTTGCCCAGGTGCCCTGACAAAATTGTTTCTTTGTGGCTTGGTATTCTGCAAATCAAAAGGGCCTCTTGGGGTTTTGAGTCATTTGGAAGCCCCCCCCTTTTTTTCAGGAGCATTACTAAGATAGTGGATGCACCTCTTGAATTATGTGCCTGCAGCTCCTTGTGTCCCATGTGGAGACAGGAGAGAGCAGCTAGATGTCCTGGGCCCATTCTCCTCTTTGGTGCCAGGTGAAGGAACTCGGGGCGGCTGTCTACAACTGCAGCTGTCTGGCCCAGGACTTGGGGAAGATGTTTGAGGTCTACTGGGCCCTCGGGCTGCCAAACACCACCATCCCATCACCCTGGCCGTCCAATTACTCCACCACCTACAACAGGGAGACGCCCCTGGAGCTGAAGCTGAACGGCACAGAGGCTGCTGTCTACTTTTCGGTGAGGAACTGCACGTGGATACGGTTGAGTGCTTTGCTCTGAGCAGCTGCCAGGATGCTCGTGGGGCTCTCTGATCACACTTGTTGGGAGAAACATCCTCCCCAAGTTGCAAAAATGATAATTTCTGCTAAGAGGCTTCAGCAAGGAGAGTAGTGGGTCCTTCTAATGAATTGGGGTTAGATTCCCACCAGCCCTTCCCATGTCCAAGCAGGGACACAAAATACAGCTGGATTGCTGTGCCCTGGGGAAAAAAAACGCAACACCCTCCTTTTGGCAAGATAAGGGAGCTTCTTTCTCCAGCCCTGGGCAGACCAGGCTCCCAGCCAGATTTGGCCCTTGGAAGGGAGGCTGGCAGGGCCAGCTCATCACTGCTGAATAGAGCCAGATGCCTGCTGCCTTCCAGGCAGACTTTGCCTGCAAACCAGCCCAACCAATAACTGCTCTGGATGCTTTGCTAAAATGAAAGTTACGTTAAGGTGGGTCTCTTTTGTGCTGTCCAGAGTGCCCCCCAAGTCCTGTGTGCCACCGGGCGGACGGACGACCTCCAGTCCCTACTGAGCGTCATCGAAGGGGCCCAGGAGTTTGTCTACGTGGCCGTGATGAGTTACTTGCCCACCATGGAGTTCTCCCACCCGAGGAGGTAAACTGGAGGAAAACAGCAGTGGGGGAACATCAGCCCAAGCATTTGAGGCAGCCTCCTCCCTCACGGCAGCCCCACGGGGGGGTGGGCTGCTTGTGTCCAACGGGGACTGTTAGATGCCTCTGGGCATCACTAGAGTCTCCTCGGGATGCAGGCAGGAGGCGAAGCCACGCCCCCCCCTCCGGTCTGCAGAAAAACCTCTCCATGGAACTGGTCCCTGGTACCCAAAAGGTAGGGGCTGCTGGACTAGAGGATCTCCAAGGCCCCTTCCAACTCTGTTCTGTTCTGAGTCCAACCCTGCTGTTCCTCTCAGGTTCTGGCCAGTCATCGATGACCACTTCCGGAAAGTGGCCTACGAGAAGAGAGTCCGCCTCCGCCTCCTGGTCGGCTGCTGGAGACACTCCAAGCCAAATATGTTCCCCTTCCTGCACTCCTTGGCTGCCCTGCAGGACAACCGCACCCATTACAGCCTGGAAGTGGTGAGGGCCCCCGATGGCATCCTGCCTCCTAGGCCCAGGGAGACGGCAACCGTCCTGCTCCTGAAATGAGGGGTCGGCCTGCTTTTTCCTGCCCTGCAGAAACCTCTCTGGGAGTTACTCAGGGGCTGAGCAAGGAATCCCTAACCCATCTCCATAGTGCCCCTCATTTGACTCGACTCCCTTGCCTTCCCAGAGGCTCTTTGTGGTGCCCGCAAATGAGACGCAGGCCAAGATCCCCTATGCCAGAGTGAACCACAGCAAGTTCATGGTAACAGACAAGGTGGCTTACATCGGTGAGTAAGTGGGGAGGGCTCAGGTCAGCAGGGGAAGAGTAGGTTGCAGAGGAAGGGCTTGCTGGCCTCCCACCTCGGAGGGCTTGTGTCTGTCTGGGGGGGGGATCCCGAAGGCCGGGCCCCTCCCGGGCAGCAGATGGGGCAAGAGCAGAGGGGCCACCCAGACAGGAGTCACCTTCTGCCCCCCCCCCGGAATCCCTCACCTCTTCTTCCTCCTCCTCCCCCCCCAGGAACCTCCAACTGGTCCGGGGACTACTTCCTGCACACGGCAGGCTCCGCCCTGGTGGTGGCTCAGAGCCCGGCCCGGGCGGGGGACCAGCCCACCCTCCGCGAGCAGCTGCAGCGCATCTTTGAGCGGGACTGGAACTCCGCATACAGCCGGGACCTGGACCCCGAGGGCCAGTGGGAGGCTCTCTGCAGCGCCCGCTAGAGCCCCGCCTGGCAGGCCCCGCGGAAGAGCCTCGCGGGTTGGGGGGGGGGGGCGAGGGGTCGCTTTCCGCGGGTTCAGTTGCTGGGCCGAGCTAGGCTTCCTCCCCGGCTGCGGCCGGCCTGCTGGTTTTACCCCCCCGCCCCGCGCGTCCGGGCCCGGCTTCGGGCGATTAAAGGCTCGCCTTCCAGCCTCTTGTCTGCCGCGTGGCTCTGTGGGCGGAGGGGGCCGTCCGGGGGGGAGGGGGCGGGGCTCGCTGCTTTCGGGGCGTCGGGCGGCCGCCGGAAGTTACGGCACGCCGCCTTCCGGTGCGGCCTGTGGGAGCCGGCGCGGTGGGTAAGCGGCGGGCGGGACTCGCGGCGGGTTGCGGGGACGGGCCCGGGCAGGTGATGGGCCCCGTCCCCCATCCCGGGTGCTGCGCGGCGAGGGGCGGGCCGGGACGGCCGTGAGGCGGCGGCGGCGGCGGCCTCACGCGGTGTCGCTCTCCGCAGGCATTCCGGCCGCCCCGCCTGGAGCAGCGCGATGGCGTCGGTGACGATGGGTGAGTGGCCCCCTCCTCTCCCTCCCTCCCCGTCTCTACACGGGGGCCGCCGTGGCCGTCCCTCCTCTCTGCTCCCCCACCCGGTTAACGCCGCCGTTGGTCCCGCAGCCACCTCGGAGTGGATCCAGTTCTTCAAGGAAGCCGGGATCCCGCCGGGCCCCGCGGTCAACTACGCCGTCACGTTCGTGGATAACAGGCGAGTGGCTCCTCCGCGCCCGCAGGGTCTCCCGGGGCCTCTTCCCGGCCCTGCCGGGATTGAAACTTTCAAGCAATAAAGAATTAATGTAGAGTAAAATAAAGTAAGAAGGAAATCAAGGGAAAAGTAAAAAGCAGAAGAAAAGAAGTGAAGAAAGAAAAAAGGAGTAGCTTCCAGTGTTGTTCACAGCAATTATAAGTACAAATATCTTAACTTTTCTAAAGTTATATCGTTACTCTTCTTTCAATATTTCCTTCTATAATTTGCCCTGTCTATTCAAAGCCATAAATCAAAAGTTCATAAAAAGCTTCTGGTCACCAATAAATGTAGGCAGTATCTTCTCTTTGATAAAAGAACTCAGTTTATCCATTTTGGCACAATTTATCAACTTCTCCAGCCATTTCTCCATAATGGGAAGTGTTGAATATTGAAATATGTGAGTTTTTTCTAACTTATCTATTAGTCTTGAAAGAAAAGTTGAACATTGATTTTTATTTATTTATATTTCATATTTCTTAACCACCCATCTTCCTCTTTCAAATCATCTATATCAAAGTATGTATTTTAATTAATTTTTAAGCATATTTACATCTCCATCAAACACGACAAAATGTCCCTTCATGTTGTTCACACTTCCAACATAGGCTTGAAGTGCTTTTATGCCTTCTAAATGGAGCCATCTAGCACTTTGTTGAAAGAATCTCCCAGGTCCTTGTAGAGTCATAAAAGGATTGGTGGGAATTGTAGCTTGGAAAGTTAACTTTTGCTGCCTGCGTGCTTGCAGGATCCAGAAGAACATGCTGCTGGATCTCAATAAGGAGATCATGAACGAGCTGGGTATCACAGTAGTTGGCGATATTATTGCCATTCTGAAGCACGCTAAACTGGTATACCGGCAGGTAAGTTCCTTGGAACTGTTGCTCATCCTTGCTTTATTTCATACATTGAGGCTTCAAACATTTATTGAGTCATGATAAATAGATCTCTCCGGTGCTGACTAGGGGCTTTTGGGGCATCTTAATAATTTTGGATTTTGTACCTGGAGGAGTGGCGTGGCGTGGCGGCCTAATGATGAAAACGCTCACCTCCATTCAGAAGGTTGAAAGTTCAATCCTAAGTAGCAGATATTTCTGAGAGCATGAGGAGAAAATAACTGCTGCAAACTCCATGTAGGCATCAGGAAGGGCATCTGCTAGTAAAGGCTCAGCTTCCTTCAGCCACCTGACTCTACTCAGAATTAAGGGGTTACAAGATTGAAAGAAAAAAGATTCGGGGATGCCAAATATCTTGGCCTAGTGTAAGGGGACGGCTCTGTACACACGGAGAACCTCTGAAGTCAAGTCTGTCTCCCCGTAGACATTTGTTAATCTTCCAAATCTGAAGCAAAAAAGTTTAAAAGGCTAAAACTCACAGATGCTTGAGGAACTACAGGCCACTTCTGCATCTGAGGCTCTGCTGTTCCCCAAGCTGTCTTTTCTCCAGAATGCAACATTTTAACTTGGGGACTTGATGCATTTCTTCTGCTTTGGTGCATTTGGGGAAGATGAGTCCACTCTCCCGATCTGTCTATGACCACTTTATTACTGTGGGCATTTTCTCCTCCAGGAAATGTGCAAAGCTGCAACAGAATCGGTGGCCTCCAGCCAAATTGTTTTGCAATCTGAACTCCGCAGAAATGCTAATACTGGTGAGTACAAGTTGCTTGTGTTGCTGATCACGGAGTCTCATCGAAATCCAGACCTCCGTGATGGCTATTCTTTACAGTTGTGATCTTAATCAATTTCTGCAGCTGCCACCAGAATGATTGCCAACAGTTTGAGCCGAGACTCTCCCCCTTCTACTCCTGTTCGGAGGCCTGACAGCAGTGCCTCCAAAATCTCCATCACTGTATCCAACAAAATGGCAGGAAAAAGCACCAAAGCAGGTGATTGTAAAAATCCATAGCTCAATGTATTTCTCTGCTGGGAACTTCTGTTCTAAGTGGTATCGCTGCTATGCCATGCCACGATCGGTGTTTTCCTTTCACGGTTAGAGTATTAAGGTTTAGGCTTCTGTTGCCTCCACAAGGGTAGAATTGAGCTGCTCAGCTGGAGGACCTGGAGCCAAAAATGAACAGGCTACTCAAGAATCTGAGCAATTTCTCTTTTCTGCTTGGGTCCCGATGGCTGTGCTTGTTTGGGCTCCTGAGCAGAAACAGCGGAAGCTGTTTCTTGTGGCATTTGCAAGCAGCACAAGAGCATCCACTGAGCTACATCCGCTTGCTTATGTCTTCTTGGTGCGGCAGCTATTTGCGCTCCTCGGGCTGAGAATCCCACCATCCCAGTGAAGCGGCGCCGCGTCACAGCAGAGATGGAAGGGAAGTACATTGTCCACATGCCCAAAGGAACAACTCCTAGGACCAAGAAGATCCTGGAGCAGCAGCAGGCAGCAAAAGGTATTGTAGCTACCTTTGTCGGGGGCAGGGGGTTGCTTCTTCAAAGGAAGGAAGTTGTGGGAAACTTTAAATGAAAGTGGGGTATAGGATTTGTAAATTGAGCACTTAAAAACAAAATTTGGATCAGGACAAACACAAGCAAAAGTGGCCAATTAAGAGCATTTGTTCAATCAAACATCTTTTTATCTAATAATGGGAGGTTTTTTGGTCATTAAGCTTTTTCTGATCTTGTTTGCAACACTAGGCAGGTTTCCCTTGAGAGGATCTTCTGTAGAGAGACACAACATCTCCTGCCTTCCCTTTCTTGCAGGGAAACTCAAGAAGCCTCTTTCGAAGCAGCACAGAGGCATGGGAATAAAAAAAAAACATCTGTAGCTTGGTTGTTTCCTTGGGAAGAGCCTTTCCTTTCCTAGTCATTGATGTTGACAGATGTTGTATGCATCCATGTTTGTGTTCTTCTCTGTCAGGTTTGCAAAGAACGTCTGTGTTTGACCGGCTTGGTGCAGAGACTGGTGGAGACACAGCAACAGGGAGCAAGGTGAGGGGAGGTGGGGGGAGAGAAACCTCTTCTTTGGAGTTGACAGCAGTTTCTCCTTTTTCCTGTGTGTGGTCCCCAACGTATTGGGTGCTGACCCAGGTGCAGTTCTGACCTGCTGGACTACCTGACTATGCCTGGATGGGGCCTGTCCTAGCATGCCCCTCCCTGAAGAATGCAGCTATAGCAGGTTCCTTCTGGAGAGCCTGGGGGTCTTGTTTCTGACACAGCAGCACTGGGCTTTTCTGATTGGTTGGTTCCGCTTTTTGCCTGCAGTTCCTTCCCTTCTGTGGGAACTTGCTGCGAAAGAGCAAGCTATAAATGGTGGAGGGCTCTTGTCATGAACTATTTTTGGTTGGAGGTTGCAGCAGTCACTCATGTCAGGAAAACAACCATACCATGGCAGCTGCCCCCTTACACTTACACTGCTATAAATTCATTTTAGGAGTAGAGCATATGAGTTGGTTGGCAAAAATCAAAAGGAGTCTGGTAACACCTTTTTCATTTAACATTTTATTAAAAGGATTAAGTTTTTGTGAGCTCACTTCAGATGCACGAGTGGCTAAACAGATTTAAACAGGTGAGGTAGGAAGGGAAGATTAGTTGGTTATGTAGATGCAGGTTACAGGTGAAACAGATCACGTAGTATAATAAAACTCCACTGTGTGTGTTGAGATCCTCTGAGATTGCCTGAAATTTTTTGATGTGACTTCATCAATCTCTTGCTTATCTATGATAATGGTGATTGTCATCAAATCATTGTCACCCACTTAGATTTTCTCCATGATTATCTGGCCCTATCCTGGCCCTTCAGCTCTTCCAAGGGTGCCCCATTACCATTGTAACAGAGTCCCTCCACCTGGCTTCTGGTTGTTGTCTTTTTCTCTTCCACCTTTCTGAGCATCAACATTTTCTAGAGAGCTGTGTCTCTCTTAAGATGTGCAAACTCATCTGTACTTCAGTGAATTCTGGATTGATTAGTTTGATTTGTTTTCTTGGCTGTCCGTGGCATCATCAGAAATGTTCTCCAGCGTCAACATTCAAAAATGTCTGTTCCCTTTTGTTGCTTCCTCAAAGTCTGGTTGTTGCTTTCACAGTGTGTCACAGAGAATACTGTACTGTGGCTTGCACAGTTCTAAATTTTACATGTATAGGCTGCATTCATGGTATTATCTTTTCCAAGCCTTTATGGCTGCTGTTTCCAGTGCTGTTCTGTAGCGTATTTCCTGACTTGTTTCTGCTCGGTTGTAATACTTGTGAACTCTCATCTGGATCCTGCATCTGCACAACCAAATTGTCTTCCTTTCCCCTTCTCTGCATGCCTCACTCCACGCACCCCACCTCGACCTGCATTTGATAAAGTGAACCAATGGCTTTAAACAGCCGGGCCAGATGCTGCCAGACTCCTCCCGATTCTTTACCTGAGTGCAAGGCCAGTAGTATTCTTAGCCTGCCAGAGCAATGCTTGCTTCATCTCTAGAGCAGAGGGACCCAAAATCATCCAGCCACTGTGCTCTGCTCTGTCTCTCCACAGCCCACAGGAGTGTTCAGCCGACTGGGGGATGTGCAGGAGGACAAAGCACCTGACAGCGATGACGACAGCTCTGTCCTGCAGTATGCAGGAGTTCTGAAAAGACCCTCCCAGCCCAAGGAGAGCTGCAAAGTTGGTGTCACCATCAAGGCCAAAGCTACCAGCTCTGAGCCCAAGCAGGTGGCAGCAGCAGCTGCCACCACTGCAATCCAGCGACGCGGGAGCAAGAGCGTGGCTGGATCTGCAGCTCCTGCCAAGGAAGAAGAGATGCAGGGCTTGTCTCCTGCCCCAGGCAGTGTGGCCAAGAGACTGGGCAAGCGCTCGCTGAAACTCCTCCAAGCCCAGGACAGCAGCGTTACCAGTTCCAGGAGCAGGCCTGACTCTTCCTTCCGAGTCACCATAAACAGAACTTTAGGGAGCTCCAAGGTAAGCAGCTCCAGCCCTGCAGAGCCCCCCAGCGCTCAGATGGACTACACGGGCACCGTCAGTGTCTTTAAGAGGCTCGGCAGGAAGACTGTGTGAGCCTAACCTGAGACCCCGCTTGGAGGGAGCCTTCAGACGAGGAGGGCAAGCGTGTGTGTGTGTGTGTGTGTGTTCATCTCTCCCGTCAGCTCCCTTTGTGATGTGAGCGGGAGGCTGCACTCCAGAGCCGATGTGGGTCTGCTTCTGTGAAGCTCTTGGTTGGTTCTCCCACCACTCCCTGCGCCCAGAGTTGCTTAGGGCCAAGTGAGGGGTTTTGGGCTGCCCTCTGAACACACCTTTTGTTTCTTCTCTGCAGGTGTTTGCTCTATCCTAGGAAGTAGTGTCCATAAGAGAGACAGGCGGTCCCTTCTTTTCCCTTCTCTGTCCTGAGTTTTCATCTGCCGATCCTGGAACACCCGCATTCCAGGAAGGGCAACTGCCAGATTTTTCTTTTAGTGGATGCTGGAGCTGTGCAATTGGCAAGGCAGGTCCGGCAGTGTTCTGGGTTTCTTTTCTTCTTTTCTTTCCTTTTCGGTTTTTTTAGAATGGTTGAGAAACGCCCTTGTCTTACACGTCAGGATTCCTGACTGGTCTAGCTCCGTTTCTTTTGCTGCACTCCTGAATAAGTTGTTTTTGGACTGGGGTGTGTGTGCAAATGGCTGCACCCATATTTCCCCTTTGACCTTTCTTGAGCAAACAAAAACAAACCCATTTTTTTTAAAGCACTCATCTGATGTCTGGGGGCTCTTCTCTCATCTGCCATGCTGAAGCCACCGTATTTCTCCAGCCCTCGCCCCCCTTTGTGACTTGGGCTGTCTGTCTCAGGAGTGGGGGGAATCTTAGATTACAGAAGACACACACCCTCGCCCAGCTTAGATCGCGCCCCTCCATCCACCGACAGGATTTGGGGTAGGGCAGGCTCAGCTTTGGCATTAGGAAATGACTGGGCATTGCAAGTTTAAGGAGGGGTAGATCTGCCAGGAAAGGGTGCCTGGCACCGATGGACCCCTACTGTTTCCCACCGTAAGAAGCCTTGGGTCTCCCTGGCGTTTACAACGTCCTTTAGAGAAGGCCGGTGAAGCCCCCGCCCCGGCAAAATCTCCTGGGGGATCTCTGGCCCGCAGGGACTTACGCCTCCTGCAAAGAAATTTCACTGATGCCAGCACGGACCGGTGCCAGGCAAGTGAGAGAAAAAGGCCAGTGTGCCCTGAGGCCTCCCTGCCCCAAGGGCTGCACAGAAGCCAGACCGACTACAGATTCGCGGGCTGGGGGGCGGCCAAGCCAGGCACCCCAGGGGGCTTCGTTGCTTGAAAGCGGGTTTGTCAATTGGAGTCGCTGTACATCAGGATGGTGTGAACGGCCGGTCACAATAAAAGGTGTCTCCGCTCGGCTGGTGTTGCTCGACTCTTCCTTGCCAGGCGTCGGAGCGGGGAGCCTGGGGTAGTGGGGCAGCCTGTGCAAAGGAAGAGCCTGCCGGCTCCTCCACAGGTGCTGTGCTGCTTCTGTCGCTCATTCCCTAAATGCTTCCCACCAGAGGAGTCTTTTTCCCCAGGCCTCCCTCTTGTGCATCCCAACCGATGTTTCCGTATCCGCCCTTCTGCCTTGCCAGGGGGTAAGGCAATGCCACTCCCTCCTAGGGATTCCTGACAGCCTGAATGCCAATCAGAGGGTACACAGATGGTGCATTTTATTTTGTAGCAGTTTGATTCTAGGGAGGGGGAAGGCATCTCCCCCCCCAACCTGTGTGGCTCCTGCCATACACGATCAGAGGCCACTGACTAGACTACTTTCAGTTTTCCCAACTTGCTTATGGCTAGAGGTGCCGCTCGTTGTGAGGTGATGCTGGTCCGCCGTAACAGTCCGGTCCCTGCCCGGTCCCTGCCCTCTGCCACTTGAAAGGGCCCTCGGTCTCCTGGGCAGATTCCAGCCGACTGCCCTGCCCTGCCTGCCCTGCCTGCCTGCTTTGAGGAAAGAGGGCAGCCTCGCTTTCTGCTCTTTTTCCGGCTATCAGCAGGAGCGCAGGGAGGCGCCCAAGGGGGCTTCGCTGATTGGAAGCGGGTTTGTCGGTCGGAGTCGCTGTACGTCGGGACGGTGCGAACGGCAGCTCGGCTGGGGTCGCTCCACTCTTGCCGGAGGCGGTGGCAGAAACGCCTGGCTCGGCCGCCCTTGCGCATGCGCGAGGGGACGCGCCCTACGCGCAGGCGCCGGGGCTGGGCTGGACCGCGCGCCTGCGCAGAGCGGCGAAGGTTGGCTGGCAGTGGGGCTGTTGTTGTTCCTGCTCGCGTCCCGGCCGCCCTTCCTGCGCGCGGGCCGGGAAGAGGCGGGGTTTCCGGGCGCGGGCGCCGTCGGGCCTGACGTGACGCCAGCCCCGAGGATGGCCCCGCGGGGACGCCGGTAGCGGCGGCAGGTAAGGGGGGGTGGAACGAGCCCGAGGGGCGGAGGCGCCCCCGCCACCTGGCCGAGAGCGCCGGGCGGCCGCGCGCGGGGCATTGTGGGAGGGAGGCCGAACCATCGGGCGCGGGCGACGCGCGCCCCCGCCGCTCGTGCTCGGCCCGGGGCCTCCCCCTCGTGGAGCCGCGTGGGCGTCTCCTCCTTCCCCGCTTGGGGCCCTCGGAGCCCGGCCGGTGAGCCCCGCTCCCTTCCCGCAGCGGCAGCGAACCGAGCTGCTCGTCCGGAGCGCTGCTGCCCGGGAGGCTGGCAAAGCTCGGGCCGCCGCAAGTGGCGGGCCGGGCTGCATGCGAGGCGGGCCCTGGCTGGGCTTGGGGGGCGGGGCGTGCGGGGTTTCAGCGGGCTGCCCCCCTCCCCAGGGAGCGGCGGTGCCGGGGACGAAGCGCTGCTGGTGGCTGGGCGGCCCTCGGCCAAGGAGGTCTTCCCGCCAGGCCCGGTCCGGTCGGCCGCGGAGGCTCCCGAGAGGCTCTGGATACTCAGGCCGACCAACCCGGGGCCGCTGGCACATCTGCTTCGGCCTCGTGGGGCAGATCGAGCTGAAGGATGGTAACTCCGGAGTAGCCGGTTTCTTCCCAGCAGCCGGGGGGGGGGGGTCCGAGGGAAAGTCCGACTTCTGGCAAATAACGTTTTAAATACACCCCAAAGTGCAAACGCTTTAGCAACCCCCCCGCAGCCTAGATGCTCGTCTCGCACTAGAAGGGCAAGGAAAGAGCGACTCGCAGCGTTTCTGCTAGCTCCTTCTGCTCCCCCCCCCCCCACAAAGGCTGGCGAGTTGCTGTTGGTTTCAACGTGGGCAGAAGCTCGAGCTTCGCCTCCTCGTTACTCAATGTCTAAGCAACGTGGAATTCAGGCCTGGCCGCCCTGGAAGTCGGTGGAGACTCACGAGCGGAGTGGGGTCTGCTTTAGGGGGCTGTGGGCGGGGGAGGGCAGCCTGTGCAAAGGAAGAGCCTGCCGGCTCCTCCACAGGTGCTGTGCTGCTTCTGTCGCTCATTCCCTAAATGCTGCTGACCGGCCGGCAGAATCTCCGCACCAGAGGAGTCTTTTCCCCCAGGCCTCCCTCTTGTGCATCCCAACCGATGTTTCCGTATCCGCCCTTCTGCCTTGCCAGGGGGTAAGGCAATGCCACTCCCTCCGAGGGATTCCTGACAGCCTGAATGCCAATCAGAGGGTATGACAGCAGTAATCTAGCGGACACACACACACACACACACGTCCCGTCTCTTATCTCCTGGGAGAATCGTGCCATTTCCAGGAGAGCCACTTTTGCACCATTGAGTTGACTCAAAGCCTTTCCGTCTCTGGGCAGCAGAACAGGCTTAAAAAGTGGGTGTTTAAGGTGCCCTGGCCACCTTTGGGGTTGTGGCCACTTCAAATGCTTTTTGGCTGCCTGAGACAGTGAGTTACACAGATGGTGCATTTTATTTTGTAGCAGTTTGATTCTAGGGAGGGGGAAGGCATCTCACCCCCCTCAACCTGTGTGACTCCTGCCATACACGATCAGAGGCCACTGACTAGACTACTTTCAGTTTTCCCAACTTGCTTATGGCTAGAGGTACTGTGTGAAAGCGTGCCGCTTGTTGTGATGTGATGCTGGTCCGCCATAACAGTCTGGTCCCTGCCCTCTGCCATTTGAAAGGGCCCTCTGTCTCCTGGGCAGATTTGAGCCGACTGCCCTGCCTTGCCTGCCTGCTTTGAGGAAAGAGGGCAGCGCGACTTCTTCGGCTGGAGAGGCCAGCCTAGCTTTCTGCTCTTTTTCCGGCTATCAGCAGGAGCGCAGCCAGAGGGAGGGGGGGAGGCTCTGGTCTTTTTGCCCAAGCCTGGAGTTGAGCCTTTTGATCAATTCCTTTCCAGCCTCCCATAATGGACTCCAAAGCTCTGTTGCAACCCCATTGCTGCCCCTGTTGCTCTTGGCCTCTGTAGCAACAACACACTGCGTGACGACCTTCCGGAGAGTCTTCCCAACTGGGGCAAGGAGATGAGCTTTCTCCTTTCACCTCCAGCAGCCACAGCCAGCAGGGAGGGCACAGGGCACAGATGACAGAAAGTGATAGTTTCACTCCGGTGTGCCCTACTCAGATAATAATAGCAACAACGGTTAGACTTATATACCGCCTCACAGGGCTTTGCAGCCTTCTCTAAGCTACTTACAGAATCAGCATTTGCCCTCCAACAAGGCCTAATACAGGCCTTGAAACACTCTTGTCCAGTGTTGGTCACCCCCAAAGGATAATAGCAAACAGACGAGACTACCAAGACAATCAGGAGGCTGGAAACAAATTGCGTCTAGAGTATGTTTAGTGTGAAAAAATGGGGAGGCTGTAACACTTTTCCAGTCTCTGGAGGTGATAACCCAGAAGGAAGGAAAGACAGGTGCCAAGGAAGGAGGGTCAGGCTAGACATCGAGAAGAACTTCCTGAGTGCACAGTGCAAGCTGTTGGCCAATGGAGCAGGCTGCCAGTGAAGGGGTGGTGGGTTCCCCTTTGCTGGAGGTCTTTGCACGGAGGCTGGGTACCATCCCATTGAAACGCGCGTGTAGGCCGTTCCATAAGACGGGCTCCGAAGTCTTCTGTGGTTTGTGATCTTAGTCTCCAGAAGTGACTTCCTTTTCCTGCTGAAGAAGCTGCAGCTCTGCCACCTCTTCCTCTTGGCCACAGTCTGGCATTTCTGGTGCTGCTGCTGCTGACACTTATGTCTCTCTGGACCTCTTTGCCCCTGGGAGAGATGCTGGTTCTGGATAACAGAATCTCTTTCCCAGACTTTTTCCCCTGTGTTGTTTGGTCAGAGAAGCTTTCTGTCTACTCATGTCAGACTCGCTCTGGGAGTCCAGCGCAATAAGAATTGCCTTATGGAGATGGATCCAAGCTTAGCCAACCCTTCGTAGGCAGCCATGTGGTCCAGCAAAGCTTGCAAGTAACAAGCTGCTTCTGGAAGGTCCACAATATTGACCGTGGCAAGTTTGCGGCATCCTGCCTGGAGCCAACTTGATTATCCTGCTGGCCACGGTCGCGTGGGACATGGCTGCATGGCCCTGGCTCTGACTGGGAAGTCAAGGGGAGCCAGTGGAAGCCCTGTGGCCTTCAATCAGTTCCTTTTCGCCACCGGCCAGTGCAGATGAGGGATCCAGGCCCTACGGGTCGGGAGCCAGGGTGGTGTCGATTGTGGCTTCGTAGAACATTTCACAGCGTTCAGAAGCCGAGTTTGCTCTGCAGTGCTGAGTGGGTAGCAGGGCTTCAGGGTAGCCACCGATGTTCTCAGGATGGCAACTGTTCCCTTCTCCCCTGCAGGTCGCCAGGCCGCCTGTGGCCCACCTGGCAGGCAACAGCGTCTCTCTGTGCCCCGTGGTGACAGCAACATGAGTGAGGTCTCGGTCATTAAGGAGGGGTGGCTGCACAAGCGAGGTGAGTGGTGCCTTGACTGCCCTGCCGGAGGCCCTGAGCCACCCGTGGGGCTTCCCCCATGGAATCTGCGCATGGACAGGCCTCTCCCCTGGGCTTCAGGCCTCTCCCGAGTCTGGGGATGCTCGTTGCTTTGGCTGCAGCTAGTGAAGGCCACCCCCTCTCCTGCCCCCGAGGCCCTGAGCAGCCTTCCCAGAGAGAGGCCCTCAGCCACCGGGCAGCCTGCCTTCTAGCCCAGGGAAGGACTTGCCGTTGTAGCTCTGTAGTCTGTGTTCTTCAGTAGCTTGTCTGAATCATCTAGGACGACCCAAAATAAATCAGTGGAGGTGTCTTGGCATGAGCTGTGTGTTGCCCAGCTGGTCTCTTTCCCCTCCCTGAGCTGCTGCCCCTCGTCCAGTCCTGGTTTCTGGCAGACAAATATAGACCGCAGCTGGGGGAGGGGAGAGGTTGTCCGGAGGCTATTTTGGT